AATGGATACCTTTTTTCGCGTCCGGAAGGTGTCCACTTAAGAGAGCTTCCACTGTAGTATAAAAAATGACAAGTAATAACTGTTGGCTATTTGTTATTTAAAATGATATTTAAAGTTTTACTAACATTTCTGTTTCTGGTAAAGTTTCAAGGGTTGACCAGTACTCACAAATAGAGTCCACTGGTGTTAGTGATGATAAGAAGGGTGTTCATTGGTACTAATGGTACGATTGGTACCATAGGATGTCATTGCAATGGTTCTGTTGGCCACGTCCCCTTAATGAGATGCATATTCACCAACAGAACCATTGGAATGACATTATTTTCTATTGGTACCAATCCTACCATTGGTAGCAATGGACCATCGATTTGACGAGTCATGTCTGTTTGTGTATATTGGACATAGGTGAAAGTTTCGAGTTTAATTTCTCTTACTAAAGAAAGAGAAATTAAAATTTCGTAAAAGTTATATTGTTATAGATTATGGATGTAGTAATGTTGTGAAGTTGTCGTCCTCACCTCGGTAACCTTACTTAGTTCAATGTCTTTCATTAGAAATTACTGGTAACATTTCCCATGCAAATGCCAGCACTTGAAGACACAACAAAGTCCAAGAACTTTAAGGCACAAAAAGGAAAAAATCTTTGCAAGTAATAGTAGGGTAATGGTAAATGTTTGTTAACTCGTTACAAATTAATGAGTTTGTCTTGCATGTTTGTTTCCCATTGGGTGGTGAGAATGACTATCATATGTGATGTAGTTATTTATTGGTTACTTGCACTAAATACATGTAGTCAGGGTGTATGGAAGTCTTCAATTAGTATAGGTAATAGCATGATTTGTGGTGATATTTAGCATAAATACCACAAGGGATATTTCAAGATTGTTATTCGTAATTTCACGAGCCGTTAGGCGATTGAAATTTGAGACAATTTTGAAATATCAGGTGTGGTATTTATGCCAAATATCACGTACAAATCATGCTATTATTCGTTTATACTACTACCCGCAGAAAATGACATGACATTTGACATGTGACATTTAACAAATCGACCACAATTTTCCATGGTCTACACTCTTATAGACCATAGCTCTCTACAAATCAGCGCGCGAAGATTCGTTATTGTAAAATTCACATTGGTTTCCCTATGGTGCAGACAGATAGGCAGGTGGATTGCCAGACAGTCACGTGACTACCATAATTTCTCGTATGCATAGATAATCTCCTACCCAGATCTCACTCTGTTTTACGCTGAATGTACAGATAACCAAATTTTCTTGCCCATGGTGCTCTGCTTCACTAAAACGCCGTTTTATTTGGGATTTCTATATCATGTTCAAAAGTTAACTCACGGCCTTCAATCATCTCAACAGACCTCCTTGACTCTCTTATGTTCACATGGTCATAGTTTGTTAATGGTGGATTTCATTCTGCTGAAGACAACACCAATCAGCGCAAGCTGTTCAAAATTAGTAAAAAGATAAACATGCAAGAAGAAGTTATTTTTCCCTCCCATAATGCTACCGCACTTGCAAATGACTTCGGACAATTTTTCTGTCAGAAAATTATCACCATCAGATCTTTATTTGATAACAATTCGGTTTGTGAAACTGCTTTACAATTATTTTGCGCGAATCTACTGAATTATCGATTGATATTTCGCTGTTGTCTGCATTCGAAAGCGTCTCTGAGAAAGATGTTCAGGAACTGATAATTTTCTCAAAGAAAAAAATCATGCGTCTTGGATCCTATTCCGACTTCATTGTTGATTAATTGCCTGGATGTCATGTTGCTGTGATAACAAAGATCATTAATACTGCTCTTTAGTCTGGTTACTTTCCCGGTCTATGAAAAACTGCAGTAGTCAATCCAGTTCTAAAGAAACCTGGATTAGACCCCATTTTCAAAAACTATAGGCCTGTTAGAATTCTACAATTTATATCGACGCTTTCAGAGTCTGCTGTTCCCAATCAACTTCAAGAGCCTGAGCATATGTCTTCGAACGGTATTTTTTCTCTCCTTCAATTTGCGTACCGTGAAAACCACAGAACTGAATCTGCTTTGTTGGAAGAAAAAAACGACCTGTTAATAATAAATATAATTAAAGGCCATGTATCGCTTCTTGTTTTGCTGGACTTAAGTGCCGTATTTGATACGGTAGATCCCGAGATCCTAATGCATATATTGCAAACGGAATTTGGCCTTGGAGGCGCCGTTCTCTCGTGGTTCGTTTCGTATGTTAACCATCGATCACAGCGAGTTTCCCATGGTGTTTTTTTTTCGAGTTTCATCCCTTGCTACAATGGGACACTGCCTCAGCGACATTAGGTCTCGGGTGAATCATGATAAGCTTAAGCTTAAACATGGAAACTTGAATTCTTTCTCGTTGGTACACGTCAACAATTAGCTGAAGTTTCTCGATTATGGTTGGATCTGTAGATGTTTCTTCGGCTGGCGAAGCCAGAGACCTTGGTGTGTGGCTTGATTTAAAGCTTACAATGTCAACTCACATTGATAAGACATGTGGAGCAGCGTTTTTCTATCTTTACAATATTCGGCACATCAGAAAATTCCTATCTAAAGAAAGCATTGAGACTCTTATTCGCTCATTCATTACTAACTGCAACAGTTTATTCTTTTCTTTCCCCAACCATCTGATGTTAATGCTCCAGCGAAAAACGCAAGCTAACGCATGTGCTCGCTTGGTTTATTTAGTGCCTAAATCCTGTCACGTCACGCCAATACCGCGGGATTTGCACTGGCTACCTGTGAGAGAAATAATAAGATAAAGATACCGTATTTATTCGATTAAACGCCTCAGATGGAAGCAAAATTATCAGTAAACGCCGCCCTCGAAATCTAATTATAAAAATGCGCCGTCAATTCTAGGATAATGAGAAAAAGCTTGGTACAACTTTTTAATCTACACCATCAAGACGATTACCATTCTATCTCAGCAAAATAATAGAGACACTGACACCCTTAAAGTAGAGAATATTGTAAAAACGAGTTACAGTAACTGTTGTTAGGGATCTAAGAGAAGTGGTTTCGAAACAAACGCCCCCCTTATATAAACAGCGCATCGGAGACGCTAAATACGCTAAGATGCTTTATTTTAAGGGGCGCATACTCTTAGCTACATGGGTTAGTTAAAAAAAGAAAACTTCACCAGCTAATTCACAAGTGTGCCATTGTAAATGAAATATTATAGAAATAATAATGGTTAAAACAATACTGAAAAGCTATTTACAATAAAAATGAAGTTATAATGCATGCTATTAAAAATTATTTACAAAATTGATTAAAAAGGTGATTCCTCGATATTAAAATAGTGACTCATTTTCTGACAGTATTTTGAACGTTTTAAAATCGGACGACGCTCTCCGACGACAACAGGCAAGTTGTTTCAGATCTTGGGCGCCTGATACAGCCATGATTTGTTGTCAAAGCGGGTTGTGTTGAGCTTTGCCAAAATGTCCTTTCCTCTCAAGGCATATGTTTTTTCTCGTAATGAGATTAACTCATTCAAGCTCTCAGGGTTCCTTTTATTATTTACGAGTTTAAAAACCGAACAGAGAATTTTACTCATTCTCTGCTCCATCAAGGTTCTTCTACCTAAAAGCTTAAGAAATTCTTTGTATGTAGAGTGTTTGTCTCAAAAAACAAAGCGAACAGCTCTTTCATTTTCTTTCTCCAGTTTCTCAGCCGAACTCTTGTTGCAGAAATGCCAGGTTTGTGCACAGCAATCGAAATGTGGTACAATTAATGGCACGTAAATGTTCTTTCTTATATCGTTAGGAAGTATATTTCTCATGTGCTTTAAAACTGCGATTTGTTGTGATACTTTTCTACACGTATTAACCACTTGCTTATCGAATTTCACAAATCACCAACAGTAACTCCAAGCATCTATAGGGCATCACCAAAGCCTGGTATTTAGGGTGGATTCTTTTCATGCCATTTTCCAAAAACCATTTATCTACCATTTATGGATCCTTGGGGATAAGTCAGAGTTTATGGTTTCCTGGGCTATCAAAGGATCCTTATCGGCAAAGAAATTCTGTGTGTCATCTGCATAAGTTGATAGGTCACTACATTTTATCACGTAAACATGATCGTTTATAAATATGTTTAATAGAACAGGGCCAAGTATGGTTCCTTGGCGAATTCCAGTTGTTATGTGCTGCCATGTAGAATGAACGTTTCCTAGTTTCACCCCTTGCCTTCGATTAGAAAGATAGTCCTTTATAAGGGTAATAGTTTTGTAGTCAACCTGACATCATCGTTAAAGACAACGCATTGATTTTAAGATAATTTTAATTACTTTTAAGATTTTGAATAATATGAATAATATGACTCCTTGTTGCGACACCACGTTACAGTCTTTTTTCAGTTCTTGTTATCGAACGTTACTCCACTTTCCACCAATGATGAAGTCATCAAAGACCTTTGCGGACCACGGACCCTGAATCCACCAACTTTTAAAATGAAACTGAAAAAATCTTTATTTTCCAAGTTTTTTTTTACTAGCTTTTTATTTTTACTTTATGTACTTATATCTAGAATTATTTTTAGTATTTTTAGAACTTCTGTAAAGCGTATTTATGACTATATCTTCTTAATTTTTACTTGTATATACTTATATATTTAGGATTATTTTTATTTTTTTTAGAACTTCTGTGAAGCCCAATTGAGCATTTTTATGGAAATTGCGCTATATGTGTCGATCATTATTAGTATTCCTGTTTTACAAAATTCATAGCTTGTGACCTGAATTATGACTGGCAGCGGCGACTAACAAAAATGAAAGTTGGCTTGTGAATTCCGAGGTTTGCGTGTTATTGAAAAGTACAGTTATCTACCTGGATGTTAATGGTGTAAGAAAGTTGACTATTAATGCGCTTATCTTTTTTTGAAAGGGTGCAAAGGAAGATCCAAACCGTCACTTTTAATTATAAAAAGTGTGGCAAGTGTTTCAGTGAAAAAACAAAATTGGGGGCATGGAAGATTTCACTGCGGAAAAGCCTTATGAATGTAAACAGTGTGGCGGTCGTTTCAGTGAAGCAGGAAGCTTGAAAAATCATCAAAAAGTTCACAGTGGAAAAAAGCCCCATGAATGTAAACATTGTGGTAAACGTTTTAGCCGTATAAACCACGTAAGGAATCATGAAAGACTTCACACTGGGGAGAAGCCTTATGAATGTAAACAATGTGGCAAGTATTTTAGTGCAGCAGGAACCCTAAAGAGACATGAAAGAGTTCATACTGGAGAAAAACCTTATGAATGTCAACAGTGTGGCAAGTGCTTTAGCCTTTCTAGCACCCTGAAGATCCATGAAAGGTTTCATGCTGAAGAAAAGCCTTATAAATGTAAAGAGTGTAACAAGGGTTTTAGCCAAGCAGGACACCTAAGGACACATGAAAGAGTTCACACTGGCGAAAAACCTTATGAATGTAAACAATGTGGCAAGTGTTTTAGTGCAACAGGATCCCTAACGAGACATAAAAGAGTTCACACTGGAGAAAAGTCACATGAATGTAAGCAGTGTGGCAAGTGTTTTAGACATTCCAATGTCCTAAGGAGGCATGAACGAGTTCACACTGGGGAAAAACCTTATGAATGTAAACAGTGTGGCAAGCGTTTTAGCCGATCAGTTAGCCTAANAAAAACCTTATGAATGTCAACAGTGTGGCAAGTGCTTTAGCCTTTCTAGCACCCTGAAGATCCATGAAAGGTTTCATGCTGAAGAAAAGCCTTATAAATGTAAAGAGTGTAACAAGGGTTTTAGCCAAGCAGGACACCTAAGGACACATGAAAGAGTTCACACTGGCGAAAAACCTTATGAATGTAAACAATGTGGCAAGTGTTTTAGTGCAACAGGATCCCTAACGAGACATAAAAGAGTTCACACTGGAGAAAAGTCACATGAATGTAAGCAGTGTGGCAAGTGTTTTAGACATTCCAATGTCCTAAGGAGGCATGAACGAGTTCACACTGGGGAAAAACCTTATGAATGTAAACAGTGTGGCAAGCGTTTTAGCCGATCAGTTAGCCTAAGGAATCACGAAAGAGTTCACACTGGGGAAAAACCTTATGAATGTAAACAATGTGGCAAGTGTTTTACTGAAGCAGGCTCCCTAAAAAGTCATGTAAAAGTTCACACTGGGGAAAAGCCTTATGAATGTAAACAGTGTGGCAAGTGTTTTAGACATTCCAATACCCTAAGGATACATGAAAGACTTCACACTGGGGAAAAACCTTATGAATGTAAACAATGTGGCAAGCGTTTTAATGCAACATCATCCCTTAGGAGACATGAAAGAATTCACACTGGAGAAAAGTCATATGAATGTAAGCAGTGTGGCAAGTGGTTTAGACATTCCAGTGTTCTAAGGAGGCATGAACGAGTTCACACTGGGGAAAAACCTTATGAATGTAAACAGTGTGGCAAGTGTTTTAACCGATCAGTTAGCCTAAGGAAACATGAAAGAGTTCACACTGGGGAAAAGCCTTATGAATGTAAACAATGTGGCAAGTGTTTTACTGAAGCAGGCTCCCTAAAAAGTCATGTAAAAGTTCACACTGGGGAAAAGCCTTATGAATGTAAACGGTGTGGCAAGTGGTTTAGACATTCCAATACCCTAAGGATGCATGAAAGAGTTCACACTGGGGAAGAACCTTATGAATGTGAAGACTGTGGCAAGTGTTTTAAGCGAATAGCAAGTCTAAGGATTCATGAAAGAGTTCACAGTAGGGAAAAGCGGTATGAGTGTAAACAGTGTAGCAAGTGTTTTAGTCAGCAAGGAGCATTGAGGAGGCACAAAGAAGTCCACAATAGAGAAATCTCACATAAATGTGACAGTAGCAAAGGTTCGTTTAAACGTTTTCTTTTCAACTGTAAGAGAGCTGGAAGTAACATAAGGGCGGGATTGCCTAACAGCACATTGTCACATAGAGAGATTGATGGCAATAGGATGGAAGACCAGCAATCAGANTTAGTCAGCAAGGAGCATTGAGGAGGCACAAAGAAGTCCACAATAGAGAAATCTCACATAAATGTGACAGTAGCAAAGGTTCGTTTAAACGTTTTCTTTTCAACTGTAAGAGAGCTGGAAGTAACATAAGGGCGGGATTGCCTAACAGCACATTGTCACATAGAGAGATTGATGGCAATAGGATGGAAGACCAGCAATCAGACATCAATGAGAGATACAGCTGTTGGATTTGTCAAGAGGACATGCGTAGTGAGGCTCTTCTTCTTCAACATTACGAAAATCATATGAAACATATAGCTGATAGTGGCTCTTAAGTTTGACAAACGCTTTGGTCTCTATAGGTTTTTTCAAGTTCCGATTCAGTTTATAAGGTTTTGCTTTTTAACTGTTAGCGTCATATCCTTTAGTTTACCTTTGATAACTCAGTTGAAAGTTAATGTTCGAATTCTGTTTCAGTTGGACGGGATTATGAAAAGACATCAATAAGAAGAAGTTTTGCTCTTTACTAAAAGTTGGACACAGCAGTCCTTCCCACCTGCAATGGGCTTTTTTCAGTAGTTCAAAACTGTTAAAACGTCGTTTTGTCAGGTGGCCCGAACCTATTTATGTACGTGTTGGTCATGTATTTGAGTCACGTTTCCAGCAGGAACAATTTAACCGATTTCTATGATTTTTGGCACCTTAATGGTGGAACTTTAGGAAAAAGTTGTTCGATTTTAGAATGAAAACGTTTGACATATCGATATGTATTTAAAACCGCATTTTTACAAAAAATGTAAATAACTTGGAAATCCTGCGACAGATTTTTCCCTAACGTCAAAAAAATGCCTCTGAGCTATCTACTGTAGTTTTAAATCTGCAAGTTTGAAGTGACCATATAAATTTAACCTTCAAATGCTACGCTAGCTCATTTGTGAAAGTGAAAGCAACAACAATGCAAAACTTAGCATTTACGGAAATCTCCTACCGATCATTGAAATCGGTTAAATCTTTCCTGCTGAAAAACGCGATTTCAAAAAGTTAACCAACACGCACATAAATAAGTTCGGGGCTATCTTAAAGTAATCTCCGCCGACATAACACAGCCTTCTGAAGCAGGCAATATTCATGACTTTAGAGAAATAGGCCTTCCGTTACTGGTCCTGTGTGGTTTGAACCCACCACCGACTTTCGCATAGCATATGGGACCTTTACTGAAATGAAAAAAGGTAGATTAAAAAGCATTTAGTGAAATACAGCAACGTAACTTTTTTCATTGCGTCTTTTATAATTACACCTTTTGCTGTTCATTAAGGTGGCCCGTTCCTTTTTATATGTGTGTTGGTTATGTTATTGATTCGCGTTTTTCAGAATGAAAGATTCAACCGATTTCTACGTTTTTTTCCATCCCTAATAAATAATGATGGAACTTTGAGGAAATGTTATTTATTTTCTTATAGGTATAAAAACTTTTGAGATATGGGCATATATTTAAAACCTCATTTTTACGAAAAATGAAAATAACTTCGAAATCCCACGACAGATTGGTCCCCAACTTCAGCAAATAAGCCTCAGAGCTCTCTAGTTTTATGTCTGTAAGTTTGCAGGCAATCGTGACCGAAACTACCTCTTAACTGAAACGTTCTTACCCAAAGCATTGTTGGAAGAAAATAAGTAATCGGACAACTACGGCGAACACAGTTAGCACTTTAATACAACCAACTTTCTGCTACAGGCGCGTTGAAATTAAATGTATTCTATTTATCAAACTTACTTAGCATTTGTCCGTTCATTTTCGACAAAAATATTAAAAAAACAAAACACAGCATCTGCAGAAACCGCTAGGCAGTTTTTAGCTTCAAAGGTTCTCGTTCTGAGGCGAAATAAGCCCGCCAAAATCTCTGACTTTCCTATCACATGCTCACGAGCAGTATGCCACTATGATATGATATAATTATGATAGTAAATAGATTTCCATATGTAAGTAATAACTATTATCCCCGAGTGATTTGCTAAAGGCCTTCTGAAAGTGGAATTATAACAATTGCTTAAGATTCAGGATCCATTCATTAATAATTGGAGCTCGTTTAGGCTAAATAAGGCAGTGCACCCCCCGGGGGGGAACGTGTCGACACCGGACAGGAGGGAATTATGTTGGGCAAATGTTTCTTTGACAAAAGACCTGTGAGGCAAGAAAAAACGAAATAAATGTAATATAACCCCCCGGGGTAGTAAAATAACCCCCCGGGGTACTCACCTCAAGTTCCAACCCCTTACCTTTATATATACCATTTTTCACGAAAAAGTTACCCCTTTCGTACACATTTTATCGACAAATGGTACCCCTTTCACATACCTTGCCTAGATTTTTGCATCCCTTTTTATTGCTGCAAATGCACCATCTTGAAATAGGAATCAGTCACAAAAATATAACGTTTTCTCGACTTTCTAAAGCCATAAAATTCATCTGGTGAAATCCCTACCCTTTCATGATCTTTCATATACCGGAATCCTGAAAAAGGTACCCCTTTCAGGCTGAGCCTCCCCGTATAGGCCATCATAGGGAATACCCCCCGGATATAACCAAACAAGCAAAAGGAAAAACAGCACCGTTCATAAATATTCTGAAGTGCGTGCTGGTAAAAACAGAGGCAAGATAGGAAAGACGGTTCAGTTAAGATCTATGGGAAACTGTCCACCTAACCCTCCCCTAACCCAACGTTAATACTAACTTCCCACCTTGGGCAAAATGTTGGGTAAAGTGATGGGTAGGTGGGCAGTTTCCCAGAATCCTTAACTGATCCGGAAGCACAATCAACCTCAGAGGAATTTCATAAGATTAAAGGAGTGCGAACTCCTGATTTTCAAAGTATATAGTCCATGAAATGGTAATAATGTGGATCCGTTCAGCCGGATATCACCTTTAGAAGAACGTATTGCATTTCCATTAAGGAAAAATCATTTTTATTCTCACTTTAGGAGAGATGAATGCTAACGTCGCCACGCAAATGATTACGTATTTTCTCTTAAGGTTGCCCGTTCCTATTTACATGCTGTTGGTTATTTTTTTTATTCGCGTTTTTCAGAATAAAAGATTCAACCGATTTCTACGATTTTTTGCATCCTTAATAAATAATAATGGAACTTTAAGAAAATGTTATTTATTTTCTTGTAGGTATAAAAACTTTTGATCCATAAAATCTCACTGAAATGTAATAAAAAAGAAATGACTCAGGGTCTCTCGTGTTAAACAGGATAGAAAAAAGAACGATTTTTGTCCGAAACGGGGTCAGAGTTTGAAGGCCTCGGCGGCAATCCTCCACCCAAACTTCTGTTGAGTGCCCCACTCCCACTGAGCGGTCAGAGAAGAACACACGATTGATAAGGCTGTGTCCGCTAGGTTATCCTCTAAAAGAATCTATTGATAGGACAAGGGAAAATTGCCCTTATTGCATTAATCTGTCCGTATAAGCAGGTTACACTTATAGATAATGAAATGGGACGTCTCTAAGAGCGAGATATTCGTATATTAAGTTCGAGTCCATAAAGCTGGGTTTCACTAAACAGCGAAGGACATTAGTTTTTAAGGTTTGGAAAAGACTCAAAACATTTGTCCATCTCCAAACTACATTGACGTACACTTTTCACGTGTGACGAATATTTTTTTCTTTGTATGAAAATTAAACTTGAAAAATACTAGTTGGCACATGAAGAAGATGATTTACATAATAAAGTGGGGAGGGTTGTATAAGAACAAGGGCAACCCTGGCCTCGCTTTCACCTGTAACTGTAAAATGGGTTATTATATGGTGTTTAAGTGCATTGATGTCTTAGTTCCACCATACATATCTGGAAAAATGTCAATCCTGCCTGCACGTCCATAGATATAATACAAGACAAAGTAATAAACTTAGTGGACCTTTCAGTAGCATTAAGAGAGCGCAAACTGAACTGAGTGGAGTGCAATTTGGTCTGAAATCATACGCGTGATTTCAGAGTCGGACGTGCGGGAAAGCTCAGAAGCTGTCGGTTTGTCAAAAGTAAGTAAAATGTTACGGCAACTCAAAGGACAAATTTTAGCTCACTACTCTTCTTCTTAAATAAGAAATACTCATTTACGTCTTTTTTGTACGGACCAAGGAAAACATACTGTGCTTTTAAAAAAAGCATGATCTTTTTCGTATTTTGAAATAACGCTTGACGGTATGAAATCTTACCTATAGCTAAGAAAACTCGAACGCACTCATTAATCTACGATTACTACTAGAAATGGAGCGACGACCAGTGATCTATAGGCTCGATTACCATCTGCTGTTCGGGAAAATAAGCCTGCACTCATCCCCCCAAAGGAGTGGCTGGACGCGTGCTATTTCCTGAAGATGTCTTCGCTTTTTCTCAGCATGGACTTTGCTGTGGGAATGGCTCTTTCGACTTCGCCGTTCGCCTGGGCGTATTTTGGTGAACTAGTAACATGTGTGAAATGATATGCTTCTGCAAACTGTCGAAAGGCCTCTGTACTATACTGTGGCCCGTAGTCTGACATTATGACATCTGGAATGCCATGTGTGGCGAAAACCTCCTTGAGTGCTTTTATGACTGAATGAGAACTCTCATCAGAGAGTTCCTTGATGTCAAACCACCTTGAGTAATAGTCAACCACGATGTTGTATTTTCTTCCTTGAAAATCATACAGGTCTGTTGCAACACTCTCACAGGGACGGGCTGCGAAGGACGAAGGCATAAGTAGTTCTCTCGGCGTTGGTTGTTCCTTGGCACATGTGTGGCTTCGGATAATCAACTCACCGATTTGTGTTGAGGGTCCTGGCCACAATACGGAAGTGCGTGCCCTGGATCTACACTTGGCAGACCTAGGTGACCAGTATGAATGCAGTCAAGGATTTGTAGTCGCGAAGCGATGAGTGCGATATCGGTTTTCAAGTGCAATTTAACGCGGAATTCACGAGTTAGGTAATGGATTTTCCTTGAGTAGCATAATTGAATAAAAATAACAAAAAAGGAAAACAGCAATATTAAATATTGCTTGTTTTTATCCTGAGCGCGCTCTCCAGAAAGCCATTTCAAAGTCAACTGTCAGAACTGTCATTGCCTTAGCGAACAGGAAGCAAGGACAGTCGTACACGTTTGAACCTTGACAACTTTATTTGTACCTTGTGCTTGTTTTTACATTTGTTTTCAAACTTTTAAACAAGCTTTAAACTAATCTCAACGATAAATAGTGTTATTTTACAGAATTTACAAGCCGTTTATCTACAACATCTATTCTCAAATTTCCAAACCATTTGCTCGAGACTGAGAGAAATGAAGTGTCCAAGCG